TAATTACAACACCTAGCCTCCAAGTACAATACCCTTCCAAATACAAAACCTAGCTTCCAATTACAACACCTAGCTTCCAATTACAATACTTAGCTTCAAACTACAATACCCTTCCAATTACAACCATTTTCAATTACAACACCTAGCTTCCAATTACAACACCAAGCTTCCAATTACAACACCCTTCTAATTACAACGCATTTTCAATTACAACACTCTTCCAATAACAACACTTAGCTTCCAATTACAACACCCTTCCAATTACAACACCTAGCTCCCAATTAAAACACCCTTCCAATTACCATACCTAGCTTCCAATTACAACACCTAGCTCTAAATTACAATACCTAGCTTCTAATTAAAACACCTAGCTTCTAAATACAACACCCTGCTTCCATTTACAACATCCAATTACAACACTTTGCTCAATTACAACACCTAGCTTCCAATTTTAACACCTAGCCTCCAATTAAATACTCTTCCAATTACAAAACCTAGCTTCCAATTACAACAACTAGCTTCCAATTACAACAACTAGCTTCCAATTACAACACCTAGCTTCCAATTACAACATCTGGCTTCAAACTACAACACTTAGCTTCCAATTACAAAACCTAGCTTCCAGTAACAACAAGTAGCTTCCAATTACAACACCCTTCCAATTACAACACTTAGCTTCCAATCACAACACCTTTTCAATTACAACACCTAGTTTCCAATTACAACACCTAGCTCCCAATTACAACACCTAACTTCTAATTACAACACCCTGCTTCCATTTACAAAACCTAGCTTCCAATTACAACACCCAGCTTCCAATTACAACACCTAGCTTCCAATTACAACACTTTGCTTCCAATGACAACACCTAGCTTCCAATTACAACACCTAGCCTCCAATTACAATACCCTTCCAAATACAAAACCTAGCTTCCAATAACAACACCTAGCTTCCAATTACAACACCTGACTTCCAATTACACCTAGCTTCCAATAACAACACCTAGCATCCAATTACAATACCCTTCCAAATACAAAACCTAGCTTCAAATTACAACACCCAGCTTCCAATTACAACACCTAGCTTCAAACTACAACACCCTTCCAATTTCAACATGAAGATACCAATTACAACACCCTTCCAATAACAACACCTAGCTTCTAATTACAACACTCTTCCAATTACAACACCTAGCTTTTAATTACAACACCCTTCCAATTACCATACCTAGCTTCCAATTACAACACCTAGCTTCTTACTACAACACCTAGCCTCCAATTACAATACCCTTCCAAATACAAAATCTAGCTTCCAATTACAATACCTAGCATCAAACTACAACACCCTTCCGATTACAACGCATTTTCAATTACAACACCCTTCCAATTACAATACCTAGCTTAAAAATTACAACACTTTGTTTCTAATTAAAACACCTTGCTTACAACACCCAGTCTCCAATTACAATACCCTTCCAAATACAAAACCTTGCTTCCAATTACAACACCTAGCTTCCAATTACAACACCTAGCCTCTAATTACAACATCTAGCTTCAAACTACAACACTTAGCTTCAAACTACAACACCTAGCTTCCAGTTACAACATCCTTCCAATTACAACACCTAGCTTCCAATCTTTTTGGCAAAATACTCAAAGAAGATGGGCGTACTTGGCGTGTGATCTGCAGGAATCATGTGTATGAAACATTTATGGTTTAAATGTCCACAATTTGGTGGACTGACCAGAACCGGACTGACTTTACATAGTTAGGCACATAGGAAAATGTTCAGATTTACATTGAAATAGCTTGCAAATTTGAAATATTTTAGTCCACTTATCTTCATAGTTTCAATAACACAGTAACACTTCACATAAATGATAAACACCTAACAAGATAATAGGGTATGATATATGAAATGAAGTTTCCAATTGCTTTCACTCCCCATGCAACTGAACCAAAATTTATCTCTTTTAAAACTTTTATAAATCAGTAAATAAAATTCAACTGATAAACGACTTGATTGTTTATATAAACAAGAGGCCCATGGGCCACATCGCTCACCTGAGCACATTGGCAAGGCAAAAGCACAAATCAGTTCAGTATTGAAAAGATTCCGGGGGGAGGGGAGGGGGGGCTTGAATTTTAAACTACCTGATGATGCTTCCATGTCAATATATAATTTGTTTTAGCAAATGGCTTTGTTGTACATGAGAAGATTTTAAAAAAAAATTCCCATATATTTCTCTGTAAAAATTTGATCCCCCATTGTGGCTCCTCCCTATCCCAGGGGTCATCATTTGAACAAACTTGAATCTACACTACCTGAGGATGCTTCCATATCAATATGACTAAACATAGCTTTTCTGTTCTTGAGAAGAAATTTTTTTCTATATGTTCCTATGTAAAACTTTTGATCCCCTTATTGGGCCCCACCCTACCCTCAGGGGTCATCATTTGAACAAAATTGAATTTACACTACCTGAGGATGCTTCCATATCAAAATGACTAAACATGATTTTCAGTTCTTGAGAAGAAGATATTTTCCTATATGTTCCTATGTAAAATTTTCGATCCCCCATTATGGCCCATCCCTATCCCCTGGGGTCATCATTTTAACAAACTTGAATCTACACTACCTGAGGATGCTTCCATATCAATTGACTAATCATGGCTTTCCAGTTCTTCATCAGAACATATCTTCCTATATATTTCTATTTCAGACTTTTATCCTCCATTGTGGCCCCACCCTACCCCCGGGGGTCATGATTTGAACAAACTTGAATCTACACTACCTGAGGATACTTCCATATAAATATGATCAATCAGGGCTTTGCTGTTCCTGAGAAGAAGATATTTAAAGATTTTTCCTATATATTTCTATGTAAAACTTTGATCCTCCATTGTGGCCCCGCCCTACCCCCGGGGGGTCATGATTTGAACAAACTTGAATCTACACTACCTGAGGATGCTTTCATATAAATATGACCAATTAGGGCTTTGCTGTTATTGAGAAGAAGATTTTTAAAGATTTTTCCTATATATTTCTATGTTAAACTTTGATCCTCCATTGTGGCCCTGCCCTACCCCCGGGGGTCATGATTTGGACAAATTTGAATCTACACTACCTGAGGATGCTGCAATATAAATATGACCAATTAGGGCTTTATTGTTATTGAGAAGAAGATTTTTAAAGGTTTTTCCTATATATTTCTATGTAAAACTTTGATCCTCCATTGTGGCCCCGCCCTACCCCCGGGGGGTCATGATTTGAACAAACTTGAATCTACACTACCTGAGGATACTTCCATATAAATATGACTCATCATGGCTTTGCTGTTATTGAGAAGAAGATTTTTAAAGATTTTTCCTATATATTTCTATGTAAAACTTTGATCCTCCATTGTGGCCCCGTCCTACCCCCGGGGGTCATGATTTGGACAAATTTGAATCTACACTACCTGAGGATGCTGCCATATAAATATGACCAATTAGGGCTTTGCTGTTCTTGAGAAGAAGATTTTTAAAGGTTTTTCCTATATATTTCTATGTAAAACTTTGATCCTCCACTGTGGCCCCGCCCTACCCCCGGGGGTCATGATTTGAACAAACTTGAATCTACACTACCTGAGGATGCTTCCACATGAGTTTCATCTTCCCTGGCTTTGTGGTTCTTGAGAAGAAGATTTTTAAAAGATGCTACTAATTTTTCACTAATTCTTCATTATCTCCCCTTGAAAGAGGGCGTGGCCCTTCATTTGAACAAACTTCAATCCCCTTCATCCAAGGATACTTTGTGGCAAATTTGGTTGAAATTGGCCCAGTGGTTCTTGAGAAGAAGTCGAAAATGTGAAAAGTTTACAGACGGACGGACGGACAGACAGACAGACGGACAGACGGACTACAGACAAAATGTGATCAGAAAAGCTCACTTGAGCCTTCGGCTCAGGTGAGCTAAAAAAGAAAAAAATAAAATGCTCCATAAGAGGATCGAACCAAAAACTTCTCAACTCCAAACTGCGCTGGATTGGTAACGTACATATACTAGTATTCAACTGAGCTATCATCGCTACACAAACACTATGGAATTTAAAATGACAAAGAAGCAAGGCATTCACACCTTGGTATTTTTTTTTTAAAGTTCAGTTTTCATAGTCTCTGGGTCTTCTCTCCATTTTTTTTTTTTTTTTTTTTTTTACAAATATTTGTTTGTTTCTTTGAATACAAATGCTGACTAATGTATTTTTAAAATCGTGGAGAGACAGCAAAATTTTAGAAAAACATGTTTAAAAATGTAACATTTTTGTACCAAATGACTCAAGTTATTTTTAAAGAAATCAAACACACTATATGAAAATATTTTCATTTCTATTTCATAGGAACATAATACATCAAAAGAATTTTAAAATTTAATTTGACAGTTCAATAAAGTTTTCACTTTTCAAGTGCGCCCCGATTCCTGTCGAATGTCAATCAAAAGCCCCCTTGTTCTGAACAATTCCAAGTAAAGAGACAAAAGATACATCAGGAAAATAAGCAGATAGATTTATTTCACTGCATCTCAGAAAACAGAATCTGGCCTTATTAAATTAAATTGCTCTACATCAAATAAAACTACAACAATCACAAAAATCAAAATTGCACTTAAACGTCACATAAATCATTGAATTTCTACACAAAATTCTCTATTTTCAACAGACAATTTTCTTTCTTCTAGCTCAAATCATAAAAAAAATTCTTCTATTTAAAACTACTAAGTATGAATTAATTAACAATGAGTTCTTGAAGACACATTTGCAATATTTAATACACCTTTTATCAACAAGTCTTGATAAAATATACCATTCTTTGTAACATCTCATATCATGAAAAACGAAATAGCAATACACAATGTTTTGCCACATGACATTCATTTTTCCTCAAAAATTACCTCCCTTAAAAAAAATAAATGATTTAAAAATCTTCCTCAAGAAAGATTAAGGAATACAGTAGCACATGTACATATACAAGTTTACAGTCTTAATGAGTTTAATACATTTGATCAATTACCAAGCACCTGTCATGGGGTCATGCTTGACTAGTACACCCACACTACCATTACTAGTTCTGGAAGAATATCTATCAAAAATTCTCTGAACAATATTATAAAACTACCTTTTAAATCAAAATTTTTTTCCTGTTAGATTTTCATTTCTAAAATTTTAAGTCTGATCAACAAATATCAGAAATCAATAAACATTTTATCAATTTTAAAATGCAGTTGACCTTCGATATCTCAGATACCATGGATATGTCAAAGTGATTTGGAAGTCCCAACTTATTCTTTAAGTATTTTACCCTCGATATTTCGAATCCTTGGATATCTTGAAGTTTTTTCTCGGTCCCATCGAGTTCGAGATAGAGGTTTGACTGTATATGGTGAAGTAAATACAAAGCTTTCTTCTATATCTACCTGAGATATGGCTGAAGTGATATAAATTTTACATATATGTTGTATGAAATAAATATTTGGTATATCATATTTATTTTGGTCACTGCAGTTTTCAACTATTTGGAAGGGAAAAAAGTCCAGACATAAATCATATATAAGTATCTTTCAAGAAATGAAGAGGATAATTTGAATAATGGTAAGGGGTTTGCATTACCATGAAAAACATATTTTGGAAACATATAGCTGTACCTTTCCTCAAAATACAGAAAAAAGTACCATCAGCTTTTATAGCGAAATACCAGTACATCAATTATTCATGATCACTGATTAGCATTTTCTATAATATACGTCTCTTTGCATGAAATATCAGTCCACATTCTTATTTCAATGCTATAGCCGGTAGGCAATGAAACTGGCTAATTGCATTTTTCTTAGAAATAACATTTTATTTTTATGGAAGGTGTGGTTTAAATATGTATATTAAACAGGAAACGTATTTTGTCAAATGTTAAAATAATGATAAAAAAAGACACTCAATGCAAAAAAAAACCCCAATAAACAGGAAGCGATGCAATTATCATTACATGTAATGCAATAAAACCATAGCATATAATGGAGTAAAATACTTTTACATACATAATTTAAAGTGTAAGACTAGATGTTTTTATGGGATAAACCAATCAGGTTTTTATTTCTCAAATGTATGATTGATTGATTTTTTTCTTTTGGTTTAAAATTTCCTTCGCTTATAAATTTCTAAAATGGATTGTCATTTAGAAATATCTGTATAAAAAAAATTACAAAATTATTCTAACGGAAAAAGGGCATGTGATTCATATTTATATTGAATTTCTATGAATTTCAAATACTTATTGACGTAAATAGAAAAATCAGAAGAGTCATATAAATGCTTTGCAGAAAAATTACCACTTTTTTTATATACATTTTCATATTTGATCTCAAACATCACTCTATACTAAAAAATTTAAAATGAGATTGTCAAATGGATTGGGGAATTTAAAATAAAATACAGTAACTTCGAGAAATTCATTTCTACAGTGATGGACAGACACAAATATATATTTGAAGGGGGTATCATATCACTTCATGAAGTTCATAAAATGTACTAGTAATTTCTAGTCCAGCTATTATTGTAAATTGTGAAGTACAGTTTGCAAAACCTATCACTGTAATTTACTTTAAACCCATCTAAACGATTACTTGTAATAGGATTATTCTATTATTTTCATAAAAAAAACTTTCATCTATTGTGTCTCGAAATCATTCAGTTAGGCATAGAAAACAAATATCTCATAACTGCAATGCATTGCCAAAAATCAATTTTACTGCTATATATATTTTAGATTTTTGCAGTCAAAGCAGACATGCAGCCTAGCACCAAGCTTTTGAATGAAAAATAATTATAATTCAATATATAATCCATATACTTTAAAGTGTGTCATAAAACCGACTAGAAATATTGAATAAATTAATGATGATCAATTATGATTACTTGTTAAATTATTGCTGGCATGCTTTTACAAAAAAAAAAAATACTGAGTACTTATAAAATAATACACTTTTCCTTACAAAATTCTTTGATTTGGTTAAAACATGTAGATATCACTTCTAACACTGGCTTAATACAACCTATAATTATATACATATATGAGACAGTAAATTGATCAAATAAAACAACGTATGATTGGCTATATCACTGATAAAATAAACGTCACTTAAACTAAAAGTGGCACTTTAATAAAAACGTAAAAATCTGAAAGCAGTTACATATATCCTGAGCCTGTACATAATACATTTAGATCCATATATATTTTCTGTGATTCTTCTAATAAAAATATAACACATATTCATAAATTATCATAGGTATATTTGGTAACTAACTACATATCTGACAGCATTTGTCAGGTAAACTCTGCACAAACATGTACTTTATACAATTCAAGAGTGGTTATATTAAATATATATGGCAACTAAAATTAAAAAAAAAATTATCACTAGGACAAAAGAAAACACATATGATTTTTTTTCTAACACATACGATTTTTTTCTTAAAAAAAAAAAATCTAAATTTGTATTGAAATGCAAACAATTTCTGTATACCTTGTGGCGCAAAGTTTCAAAGAAAATACCTTTAAAACTGACAATTTCTAAAGGAAACACAAGTAATTAAACCCATTTAGAGTTAACTCTCTTATTAGATGGTCAATACACCTTAAGTGAAGGGTGGATAAACAAATCAACTTATAATTACAAAAAATTCTCAATATTAATTTCGAGCCACTGACTTTTAATTAAAGCAATTCTACTGAGCAGTAAAAACATACTTGTTATCAGAGAGAAATCAGGCATGTTTCTTTTTACCTTTCTTGGCATTTCACATCAATATTTAATGTCATAATTTAAGCCAAACTTACATTGAAAAATATTCTCTTTGAAACACCTGCACATGTTAAAAATAAACATAACCAGCAGCAAAAAGGTGGGAATATAAATATAAACTGACATTAGCTAAAGTACAACTAGCAAAATTTATTTCTGGAAAATTATTGACTAATTTACTTTTTGTTATAATAAAAAAAAATGTGAAAATCAATCAGTTATACTGATATGTCTCAATTTTTTCCCCCTTCATGTAAAAGAAAAATCCTTTGGCCCTTATTGCTTTATCACATACAGATGAAAAATATAATTAAAAAAATACAAGCTTTAATATTACTGTATCTGTAAAACATGCACATATTGTTTAAAAATAAGTAAAGTTCTACCTCTCTGTTTTGAACAAAATCAACTATCATCCAAAAATACTTCCAGATGGTCTCTGCATATGCAGTTCATAACAAGAAGATATATAATCTTTTTCCCCACTTTCCCCTCTTTGATTTGCCAATGTAAGATTTATTCTTGTGGAATTATGAGTAGATGGTGATGACCTCATTTCCACATCCTCTGACCATCAGCACTCGGTCTAAGCCCTCGGTCAACACCTCAAGATACTCCATAACTAACTCAGTTAAGGCCAAATAATAATAATGTAGTATGAAGAATAGAACGATAACTGCATGTATTCATGCATTTTATTTCAACTTAGGTTTTAAAGGGGCCTGTAGACAGTTGCCTTGTTGTTTTGTTTACAATTTTAAATTTTTATTTTTATTCCAAAAAAATTAAAAAACACCCTTCAGTTTAATGAATTGAACTTACATGCACATTCTTAAAATTCTATGACAACCACATACTTCAAAACATGAGGTCAAACATCTGGCGTGAGCTCTGTTATTGTTAATGTTTACGTTTTATCGTGTGTATTCGTAATGTTTACGTTTTGTCCTGTGTGTTTGTTTGTTTGGTAACTCAGCACCCATCATTGACCACGAACTGACACCAGGACAACAAGAACTGGTATTTAGGTTTTGCTTTGAACATTTCTACTCTAAATTTTCAAATTGCTCAAAACAAGAATATATAAATATACATGTGTAACTTTAAATTGTTCAATGGCAGTGACAAAGAAAAGGATACAATTGAGTTCCGCTGCCTCGGACTTGGGAGGGGCCGGGAGGTTTAGAATGACAAGCTGAGCCTCGTGTGACTTTTCTATGATGACCTCATTCAGCCTCACGGCAGTGTGCATACGTCGTATATTTTTCTTGTCACTGTGAAAAAGATATTAAAAATAAAAGTTCTATGAGAATTTTTTATGCAATAAACTGATAGCATTGTGATTATCCAAATCTGTTTAAAATCCCAAATTGTACACTGCTTACATATGTGTGCTAGAAATTAATGATAGTATATATATTATCCACAAGACTGTATCTGTATTTTATCCTTTGAATAAAAATTCATCAAAAACAAGAGGCCCACCGGCTATAATTCTTATGAGACATATATGTCTTGTCTTTCTAAAATTAACATATTTAGTATATCAACATTTTCATCCTGTACAAGGATGACTACATGTAACACAAAATATGATGGTTTTGTTGCTGTCTAATATTTTCAAGTAATGTTATGCAGAAGAAATCAAATATATAATCAACAATAGATGCATGGCCTTTGGAAAAATTTACTCCTGCCACTGGCTCGGGTGAGCTAAACTCCGTAAAAATGAGTGGAATTAAGCATTATCTATCTTTAATTAATGAATTTAGACAATAACAAATCAAGTGTTTGAATTCCTTCAAAATATATGAATTGAATAAATATTTAACATTAAAATTGATGTGTTATAAATTATTGGTTATAAAAGTTACAGTAATTTGGAAAACTCAGCCATACAGAGATAGTTGAGATGTATTTATAACACCTAAATCTTATAAGTGTCATTCAAATCTATTGTTTAAACATAATATTTATTCAGACTAGCAGCTGCAAAGTAGAAAAGGTAGCCAGTTTATTGATCAGCAGGTTTATACACAGAACTGCTTGTATCTAAATGAATAATAAAATATCATTAGAAACATTTTAAAAATGACTACAAAGCTGTAGCTGTATAAGGCAGAATTTCCTCATTCTTATGAATATTAAATGAAAACAGTTGATCAATCAGATAATGTTCTGAATTTTTTTTTATAGCTTACATCTGCAGTTTGGTGTTGTTAAATGGATGAATGGTTTCCAATAGTTCTTAATTATTGTGTAAGATGTAGTAATGTAAAATGAGAGATAAAAGTCAAAACCTCTCTCCTGGAACCTCATATGTTATCCTGAGTTAAAATATCCTCATTTAAATTTAACTGTGTTCAGCTTATTTGAGTATGTGCATGCCTTGCTCTCTCTAACTCATTTAATGCCCATTCAAATAATTTGAATCAGTTAAGGACAGTGAGAAAGAAGGCATGAAATATGCAAATAAGCTGAACACAGTTTTTATGATTATAATATTACCAGTAATAGCGAAATATTACTACATGTATAGAAATTTTTAGTACTCTTTATCTCTGTTCAAGGTCACTTCAATTCTTTAGCTTGAAAGTGCAAATGGGACTGGGTCAGGGGGAAAGAAGAAATACTATAGATATGGTAACCTTGACCTCTGATTTGTTCAAGGTCACACAATGTAACTTTGGACAAAAAAAAAAAAACATCAGCAATAAAATAAACAGTGTTCTGTCTGATCTTGTCTTAACTTATGAATTATTTTCAAGGTCAATGCACACTTCTTTTCATCAACATTCTTTTAATTAGGTTTGAACGATCAAGATCAAAAAGATCTTGGGTCTCCAAGTATGTGTTGGATGAACTGAAGCGAAGACAAACAGATTGGGATTCTTACACTTTATCCATAGAACATTCCAAAACACAGACATGCAGAAATCAATGAATAAAAAATAAAAACTAGCAACCCTTCAATTTCAAAATAGCCAAACCATTTCCATTATTTGGTATCACTGTATGAAAGCTGTGTTAGTACAAATGAAAAAAAAATTTGTCCCAAAATAAACAACTGAATTTAAAAAAAAAGTAATCGAAATGGACTTGAATGCAAAGATAAAATTGTGACTTGTTTAATAATGCTTATCAAGCAGGATTATTATGTATCTGTGCACTACACGCAAAATTTTTAAATGAATGAACCTGAAATGTTAAATGTGATTGTTGGGGGGAGCATTAGTGTGGGGGAGGAAATGATGGCAGGGAACAGAGGTACTTACGGTTTCTTATTAAGATTGCCATTAAATTTGGAATCGCTACAACATAATACTTATGTCAGAATGTAATATCTCAAAAACACCCTCCATATTGTGTACTGTATTTATACAGGTGGGTTAATGCAAAAAATTCTTCCTCAAAACTAGAGTTGAACTTCGTTATCTCGAACACGAACATTTCAAAAACCATGGATATGTCACTTGGAAGTCCCCACTACTCTTTCTTTTATGTATTTAAACCTCAATATATTGAAACCTCAGATATCTAAAAGATTTTTCTTGGTCCCACTGAGTTTGAGATAATGAAGTTTGACTGAAGATATTAAAGGAACATATCCAAGTATATTAGACAGTGCATTTAAAAAGCCCTGTGACAAATATTCTTATCTATTCTCAATATCCACATGTTGTAACATGTTGTTACATTGATACAGCTGTTCAATTCATACATGTATCTCACATGCAAATAAGTGTGCTTATAGAAGTACATATATTGAGACAACAAGTTGTCATATTGCAACAGGTTACAGAGGTAAGATAGATAGGGAAATAAAGTAAACTGTACAGTGTAACTTTTCAAACATTAAAAAGCATTTATATGACTATTCTTTGACTTTTAACAATGCAATTTTCAATCGACTACTGCTTGACACTATACTCACGGTTTAATTTGGAGATAATCTCCTGCTTTCCCGTTGTTGCTGGTTGAGGAACTGATTTTGGCTGCACCAGGAGTGAAGGTGTACTGGTGAGATTCCAGTTTTTCTTCATCGGTTGAACTCTCCGGTCCCTGGCTCTCCTCCTGAACCGGTTCCAGCTTTATCTTGGTGGGAGAAGCCGGAGTCACATGAGATTGGTCAATGATGGACTGAACCTATAATTTACAGTAACTAGGAATACTTTGAACATTAACAATAACAAAATAAAGGAATACAATAAAACAGGCTTATAGCGAAGTGTCAGGTATAAACAATTCTAATTCATTATAAACGCAATTTGTTATATCTAAATAGTTCATAATATGTTTTAAAGTTACAAGAAATGAAAATCACTTCACTGTAAGGTGAATTCATTATAAGTGTGTTTGGTGTAATCAGGTTTTTACTGTACAAGAGAAAGAATTTTCAATGTCAACTTCAGAAGGATTTTTGCATTGCTTTGTTAAGACTGCATGATGTTGATAAACAGAATTCTTATGTGAGACATAAGGCCTCCTACAGCTACACACAAAATACTTTCAAAATTTTTAACTATCGACGTCCTCTTTATCCATCAAAAATGTGATTACCGAGTATAAAACAGAAAAAAAAATCTATCTGTAAATTTCTCCATCTAAAAATCCTGTTACTTTTAATTCTAGGAATATTACTTTCTAATAATTATCTGAGTCAGTGGAATCTACGATATACGTGCCGATACCTCCTTTTTGTTTCCTTTCATCTGTTTCAACATTTCAGTTCTTTGTTCCATCATTAGTGTTCTTTCATAGGTGTAAGCAGAAATATCACTGTTACTCTGTGAAAAAAAAAAAAAAAAAAAGATAATTACACAACTAACGATTTAATTTTCACATCTCTAATTTAATCAAAGATACATTATAGATTTAGTTTTTATATCTTCAGTTTTTAATGAACTCACCATTTCTAGCACATGGACCTCTGCATCTATTCGAAGCTGATACATAAACAACTCCAAGTCCTTCTTCATCTGAATAGTGTTATCCTCAAGTTCTTACAACAGTTAAGGAACAGTAGTTATTGCTAGACCAAAACAAGAAATAAAACTCTCCCCCCCCCCTCCCCTGAATTCTAGTACATCTATATTGTTTCTGAAGAAAAGCATCTTTAAATGTTTTTGAAGGCAATGAAGTACAGAACTTGAATAGTAATTATCAACTAAACACTACCAACTCCCCTTTCTAAAAAAAAAATTATCGACAGTATACACTTATTTCATGACTATGAGGGGAACAGTCAAACTGTTGTCCCGAGGTAATGGGGAAGACCTGGGAAACTGTTGCCCGAGGCCGAGTTGTCATGAAATAAGTGTTTTATTACCTAACCTACTATATAATTTCTTAAAGTAATGATATCGACATAATAATCAATGGCTTTTAAAATACATTGACAAAAGTTTGTATTATTTTTTAAAACCAAACTAAACAAGTTGAATATTAATCAAATATTCACACCGATTGGTGTAAAATCAGAAAAATTAATGAGTGTGATATTATCATACACTAATAAATGAGAAAAAAAACATGTAGTAAACAACATAATGATGTCTTAAAAATTTGAATATTGGACGTTTATGGCAAAGATCTATACTGAATGAAAGGGGCCTACATTTTTCCCAAACTACCCTCAGAAAAGGTGTTCATGGCCTCTTCTTTGAAATGATATTAAGTTGAATATATATTTAAATTGGTATCAGGTTTACTTTTCAGATGATAATTTCAAATTGAATAAAAATGCTTCAATTTATATATAATTCAATATTATAGCTGTAAAGTACGGGAAATTAACTATGACGTCATAATGGAACAGTTCAGCCATGCAACAGTTCATTCTGTGACCGGGTAAACAGTTTTGACTGTTTCATGATTTGCAAAAACATTAAAAAGAATCAGGAAACAGTTCAAAATGCCTAATTACAATTTATATAGTAGGTTAGGTAATAAAAAAGAATAATAAATTCATCATGTACATAGTAAATACTGAAATCAAATTTTTCTTGTAAAGTTAGACAACCCTGTGCTTAAGAAAACAAAGGATACGGGCCACAGTGAAGACCCTGAGTTTACAATGTTTCCAGGTCTTGTGTTGCTTCAGCAGGAAGGGCAATAACATCAGCATCCCTCCATCATGTGACAAGGGTTAAGGAAATAAGTTACATAACAAATCTGGTGTCCAAAAAAATTTACAATCAATATCAGAAATGCTGCTTTACTTTATATTTTAAATTTATTTATAAGGATATGCACAATCCACCACACATCAATGGTTCCTTTGAGTTTTTCATTGGATGATGGAAACAAATTGATTCCCTTTACAGCCAGCAATGCCATTTGTCCTGCATTTATATTCTTCACAGCATCTATCAACACACAAGAAAAAGTTTGGTTAAATCTTTTATCATATCATCTGCATTCAAATATCATATCTACAAAAAATTTCATATATGCTATATTTTAGGATTGCAGGATCTTGACAACTGCTTTCTCTCTCAAATATCAACCCTCCAAAGTATTTTTCCAGTTTTCTACAAGCACTAGGTAAATATTTCATATTTTTGAAAATAGACAATTAAGGGGGCCGACTGGGGTTTTCATTGCGCAATACTTCGCGCAGCATAGTAAAATAAAGTGTATTTACTCTTTTAAAGCAACTTTTTTTACACAATTTATAAAAAATAACAAATTTAGGAAATATGAGGTTAAAAAATCTAAGTACGTTTTTAAATAACTAATTTGTTTAACGATTTTTCAAATGATGGGTAGAGAGACGTCGTAATAGTGTGTTTTTGACATTATGAATAACCGAAGTTCTTTAAGCGGGGTCATTAATTATGCCATAAAATAAAAAGTATAAAATATATGCTCTTGAAATTTTAAACATAGGAAATTGAGAATATAGCAATCATTGTTATTATTTTTTATGTAAATCTGTGATATCTGTCATGTTTTATTTTACTCCATAAAAACAGGAAAATATCACGAATTTTGACATTTTGAGATGCCCCCTCTGGAAACCAGACGGTAGAATTTTGTGTTTCTTGCACAAAATGTACAATATAGTATTACCCATCAAATAATAAAATTTGAGCAAAAAGTCTATAGTAGTATTTGTATAATTTGCTCCGAAGTGCGAAAAAATGGTATTTTCCTATATAATCCTATAGTAAATGTACCTGTATTTTGAAACGGTCCCTTAAAAATAACCAGATGGTAGATTTTCACTAAACTTGGCATGTATACTGAAGTCAATGTAAGGTATATAGGGTATAAAATTAAAGAGTTTCTCTATAGTAGTTTTCACACAATAAAACCCCAGTCGGCTCCCTTAAACCAGCAACAATTGATGAAAACCCCTATTTAACTTGCATTTGTTTAGGAATCTGCATTATGACAATCAACATTTTGAAAACTTTGTATCTGAGGAAAATATCTGGATATACATCAAAACTTGGTTATAGCGAAGTTCTGGGGATCTGTGAATTTACTTTGCTATATCTATAATTCATTATATCTATATAATGAATTCATAAAGTATGCAAAGCGAATTTATTCTATCAATTTTTCCTTCAAGCATGACTACCAAATGTATTTAAGGAAGTATAAAATATAGAATTTATCTTGGAGATCAAAACTTTTCAATTGAATTGAGTGTCAAATATAACTACTTACAAAATTATTGTCAGTTCAATATTTTAAAAATTAAGATCTTTGAAAAATTTACTTTAAAAGATGTCAATTTCATTATATTTAACTTCTAGGGGACACAAAATCAGTTCGCTATAACTGTAAATTCACTGTATCCAAGTTCATTACATCCGTAAAACTTTACAAGGAATTGTTAGGAATTTGGCTGGGGATTGCAAAAAACTTTATCAGTATATGTGCTATATCTGTGTTCGTACTAAAAGAGTTTTACTGTACACAGTATTAATGATTCCAATTGTAAGTTTATAATCTCCAAGCTTCCAACATTTCATGAGTTATTCAGCACCTACAACTTTGTATCTTTAAAAGTTCCTCAGAAATAAGGGAAATAACTCTTCAGAACACTGACCCAGAAAGACTTTATAGCTCCTCTCATTATGATCATGTCTCCATCCGTATGGCCAACCAATCATCACAGTGTTGTGTCGCAAACCTCCCAAACCAGCATTCTGAATCCTGAAATGTTTTAAAGTAACTCTCCTGATCACAATAAAGCAAGAACACTATAGTGAAAACACTAATATCATATGGAAAATTGTCAAACTACCTATTCTAAAGTTTATTTTAACTTTTCTCCAAAGTGTGTCCTTGGTTTCAGCTTTGCAAGTGTGAATCATTGTTTTAAAGTATCAATAAACTATGAAATAAAATTTGCATAACAAAAATGGCCCGAATTGTTTTAGATTTAAGGTTCATCGATACTCTGATAAGAGAGATAACTCTTCATGATATAAATGTCTATTATTCATTTATAATCTTGTCAAGTTGAAGTGTCTTTTTTGTCAGATTTTGCCCCGCAAGCTATGCTATAATTGTTTGTATTTTACTTAAAAAATACATTTCTTTTGGAAAATCATAAGAGTTAAAGAAACATTTTATATGATTGAGCAGAGGGTTTATGAACCTTAATGTATGAATGATAAGATCATTGGATACTTACATATGGCACATTCCAACAGAAACACTCTCACTCACTAATACATCTGAAAATCCCTTGACTCCAAATTGCTCAATGGTCCTGCTTAATTTCTACAATCAAAATGTTCATGCATATAAAAATCAACTGAAGAGGAGTTCATTTCTCTACTAGAATACACAAATCTAGCCTAACCTGTTTGGCAACCTGGGCATCGTCATATCGCTCCATGTATTTCCCCTCAATCACAGAATTCACCAGAGTCAAACCTTTCCCTGTAACACACACAAAAAAAAAAATTTTTCTTGGTAGCTCTCTCTCTAATCAGTGTTTGACTATTAATAGTGAGTGGATAAAACCTCCTTTATATATTCTTTTAAGCAGTATCTCAGATTTTTCAGATTTATCAGTTTAAAATATTTGAAGCATGTACATATACCGTTCAGCCCATTAGCAGATAAACAAGCTGCTTCAAAGTTTCCTTAGATATGACCAGTTGTTTACTTTTTTGCAGCATCAATTTAAGCAGAAGAGTCTCTGGATGACATATTTACCTGCTTTGAGCTGACTAGCAAAGGCCGCCATCTGTGGGTACTTGGGGCTCAAGTCATCTTCCAACTTCATTAACACCAGAAGCTGTGGTCTTTTTTTTTATTTTAAATAAATAAAACACTTAATATAGCACTATTTCCATTTGTTTTTGAAGTGCATTTTTTGGTTATTGTTTAGGAAACCGAGAGTTATTTTCTAGTTTTGAAAATGTGGGCCACACACACAGAGACGTGGAAGATTATAAAAAAAAAAATCAAATGCTATTGATTTTTCTGAAATGTGCAGTATTTTGAAAAACCTTCACACCATATTAATGAAAAACCAAAACACAGTTAAGGTTAAAATATATGGAAAAACAGATAAATGTTGTAATAGCAAAAATTTGCCACTTTTAATAGCCCAAAAAATACAGCATTGAATTATTATTCCACATCATATTTTGGGGTTAAAGTGTTGAAATCTGGTACAATGTTTGTGGGGGTTAAAGCATGTTTTACCTCAAAGTTCTGAATCTCTACAAAATCAGACAATAAGTTAAACTTCCTTGGAATGGCTCCATTTAACAGAAATGACATACAGGTAATTTATTTTCCTTTGTTAGACACCGTACCTCCAGTTCTTGGTATGGGGAATTCCTTGTTGTACCCGCAGTAAGGAGTATCGAGCAGCAGACATAGCCAAACCCCGGATTCCATCTCCCCACTCTTTCTCAGCACTACAATACCAGGTACAGATTTAGTATTCAAGTTCACTGATCTAATTCAACCATTGATCCAAGAATTTAACAAAATATTGAGGTAAAAATACATGAAGAAATAGTGGATGGGACCCTGAAATCACAAAATATATGGTATTCAAGATATCAATGTTCAAGATACCAAGGTTCTGTAGAACTGTACAATTTTTTTTTCTCAGGAACATTTTATTATATTTGACTACCTTATAACTTAAAAAATCTGAGAATTTAGCTTGTTCCTCCTACAGATCTGTAACTTACCCTTTGTATTCAATGTATTTGTATATACAGACAGCAATACCAATGGCTACCAGGGCATAGTACCAACTTGATATGAACATCAGAGTCACACATAGTGCCAGTCCAATAAGGGAGAGAATCCTGCAACACACAAACACACAATCTAAAGGAATTTGCTATGAAATTCATTTTTTGACTTGACTTTTACAAAATAAAGATACAGATACTTCAAGTAAAATTTTGTATTTGTTAACTTCCAACAAGTTCTGATACAAGATGTCTTTATGAAACAATGCTCCTAAGAGTAGTGAATTCATAGTTAACCTTTGACCTTTTTGCATGACCGTGACCAACTGTGCAGTTCATTAGATATGGTCATGCAGGGGTAGAAATAGACAGATAATTACACATGCCAAAATAATATGTCCTCTATCTTTGAATTTTGGAGCATATAATATCAACAATAATGTAAAACTTGGTTATAAAGAAGTCACTGGGACCTGTGAAATTACTTCGCTATATCCATAATTCGTTATATCCGTATAAGGAATTCGTAAAATTTATATAGCTGGGGATCCAAGAAAACTTTGCTATATCCATCAATTTTACTGTAACGAGTTTGCCAATGGTAGAACTTGAATCCTCTATCTTTGAATTTTGGAGCATATAATATAACAAAAATGAGTTTACCAATGGTAGAACTTGAATCGGGGTCTCCAGCTGGGTGTTCTCAGTAATGTCTGTAGAGCACATGCCATATTGACGAATCCATAGCACATCAGGAAGAACCTACAGTAAAAAATGTAAGCTATCTAATAAAGCATGAATTAAAGAAGCAACTGAACAAAACGAAATACTGAGATAATTGACAAATCTGTTACCTTTTCTAACAATTTTAATTATTTCTGCCTTGTCAAACAATAGTTACCGTATATACTTGCCTACAAGTCGGTTTTTGGGGAGTTAAACTTTGGTCCAAAACTCTTTATCCGACTTATACGCGAGTTATAAAAAGACTGGTATTTTAGTGGGTCAATCCCTCTAATTTAAGCTTAAAAATACAACCGACTTATAGGTGAGTATATACGGTAAGTTCCAAAATAAATAATATATGAAATGTAAAACAAAACTTTAACTGCATGGAGAAATCTGAAATTGTCCTTGAGTTTGGAATCTTACATGGTGATGATGGGTGCTACCATGTCAAGGTTGGCCACAAGGATTCCTAGCTCTGATATGAGGGCAGTTAATAGAAGAGCCCTGAAAGGCTCCCCCCTCTTAGTGGTTACCCCAAACACGTTCAGGAAAGGGATAACTCCATCACTAGCAATGGCTTGTAACAAACGAGGTGCTCCTATAAAAACATCAGTGTCACATCTGTATATTCCAATGCAAATAAATTATAATGTGCTTCTTTTTCATTAAAAATAACACATTTAATATCTAGCTTTTCTTTTAGATATCTTGTCTTCATATAAAATAGTGCAAGTTTACAAAAAAATGACAGCATTAAAGCATTGATCTCTCAATGGTTTAGGTGTGTATGTGAACTCATAAAATGTAACATTTGTACTGTTTTCATTGTTTTTTATTTCAGCTTTTTCACCTGTGAGACTTTGAAGTCCAGCTCCCAGGGTAGACAAAAATGACCCAATCAGAATCACCCACTCAGTGGGCCACGCCAACTTTGCCACAACCAAACCACCATTTATACTCTCTCCAAATCTGTCAAAAGATTAAAGAAAGGTCAAGGGTCATGAAAACCATGTCAAAAGTCACATGACTGGTTAATGCAGATTGGTCAGCTCTGCTCGAAATCACCAAATATTTAAATGATACTTACTTATCTCTTAGCAAATCCCCTTCAATGGTGCCAGCAAAGAAGAGTACGCAGCTAAAATCTAATGTGCATTAAGGAAATTTCACATCAGTTTTACATGCAGCAATTCTACAAAAATTTGTTTTGAAGTAACCTTTTCAATTCCATTTACTACATTTACAAATTGACATACATGTATTTTATTATTCTACATGCTAAAAGTTGTTCAAAGTCTATACAAGAAATGATCTCATTCAAACGAGACAAAAAGAGTTCCTCTTTACCTACTCTTCATTAATTTAAACTATTCAGAAAAATCTGATTGGATTGGGCCATGCAGTTTACAATGCCCATAGATAACCCCTCAATACAAAAAATATCTACTCTGCTAGTTTAACACAAACTGAGTCAATTCCAGAACAAGAGGCCCATGGGCCACAACGCTCACCTGAGTCAATATAGCCCTGCTGTTCTTTGTCAGATTTCTTCTCTTATATGTTCATATGTAAAACTTTGATCGCCTGTTCTAGGCATACCCTACCCCCAGGTGCCATGATTTTAATGAAATTGATTCTAAACTTTCTGAGGATGCTTCTATATTCATATAACTAATCATATAAGTAATCATGTTCTTGAAAACGGAATTTTAAAGATGTCTGCTTTCCTTCCGGGGGGGGGGGGGGGGGGGGGGGGGGGGGGGTCATGATTTGAACAAACTTGAATTTATGTTACCTGAGGATGATTCCATATCAATATAACTAATCATGGCTTTGTTGTTCTTGATCAGAAGATTTTTAAAGATATTTCCTATATATGTTCTTTTGTAAAACTTTGATCCGGCCATCCCTCTTCATGGCCGGCCACCCTACTACTGGAGGATGCCTTGAACAAACTTGAATCTAAAATACTTGGGGATGCTTCCATATCAATATGACTAATCATGGTTTTTTTCTGTTCTTGAAAAAGACTTTTAAAAAGATTTTTCCTATATATTCCCATGTAAAACTTTGATCCCCCATTGTGGCCCAACCCTACCACCGGGGGTCATGATTCGAACAAACTTGAATCTACACTACCTGAGGATGATTCCATATCAAAATGACTAATTGTGGCCTTGTTGTTCTTGAGAAGAAGATTTTTAAAGATTTTTTCCTATATATTCCTATGTAAAACTTTGATCCCCCATTGTGGCCCCACCCTACCCCCGGGGGTCATGATTTGAACAAACTTGAATCTACACCACCTGAAGATGCTTCCATATAGATATGACTAATCATAGCTTTGCTGTTCTTGAGAAGAAGATTTTTAAAGATTTTTTCTACATACACCTATGTTAAACTTATCCCTCACTGTGGCCCCACCCTACCCCCAGGGATCATGATTTGAACAAACTTGAATCTACACTATGTAATGAAGGTTTCACATAAATTTTAACTTTTTCAGCCCAGTGGTTCTTGAGAAGATTTTTAAAAGATTCCACCAAATTTTCACTAATTCTTAATTATCTCCCCTAGAAAGAGGTCGTGGCCCTTCATTTTAATAAAATTGAATCCCCTTTACCCAAGGATGCTTTGTTGCAAGTTTGGTTGAAATTGACCAAGTGGTTCTGGAGAAGAAGTCGAAAATATGAAAAGTTTACAGACGGACGGACGGACAGACAGGCAGACAGACAGACAGATGGACGACAGACAAAATGTGATCAGAAAAGCTCACTTGAGCTTTCAGCTCAGGTGAGCTAAAAACGAAGGATACAAACAAAAGAAGTGGTGCTAATGGCAGCAATGGTTCCTGCTGGGATGGATTTGGAGGCATCTGCTAAATCTCCTGACCTGTTGGAACCAGCCATTATACCTGTAAAAGGCACAACAAAGTTGTAATGATGAATGTAATTTGTATTTCAACAACGTTTTGCAGCTTGTACAGAAACAATCTTACACAAAAAAAGGAAGTACATTTACAACATACATGATTTCTTTTACTGATATACAAGTTAAATCTCTCATACAGTAGACCATTCAAAGTAAAGACATTGTTAATATTTACATATGTTAACTCAGTATTCAGCTATGGACAACACTGGATTGAGCATGTGAAATATGCAGAGTGACAAAAACTGAAATCATTATCAAAATGAATTTTACCTACCTGTTACTGATGGGAAATAAATAGCCAACAAAACCATAAAAGAGGAAGTGATGTCGGCAACGATTTCTCCATAGGCTCGGTTACCTTTCGTGTCAGTGCCAATAATTTTACCCTCTTCTGTGTAACGGTTGTGTAGATTGGCTGTACAAAAGAACACCATCATTAAAATCTTATATTTTTGAAAGGAACCTTAAAATTGAAATAAATTTGATCTGCAAGCTTACTTGCTTACCAGTATTTGCTACAAGTGCTCAGAATGTACAACTAACAAACATGACTAAATTTACAAAATTAAACTTTCTTATATTTGTTTTAAACAAATATTTAGAGATGAGCACAGACTGATAAATACATGTTCTACATGTAAAGAGGTAAAAAAAAAAATGTTTATCTCCTCCATCTTTGGGGCATGAAACCAGCTTACCATGAAATACTCCACTGGCCAGACCTGGAATTCCGTCCACCACTCTAGTTTCATGTTCATTGAAGAAGTCATCACATGTCTCATTGAAGCAATGTTTAGCGTACAGTGTTGTATAGTTGTCCTTACTACATGTAAACCTTCCGTTTGTCTCCGCCATGTCACTTGTTAACAGCCTATCTCCAAGGTAACATATCCTAGAAGATGGAAATGCATAGTAGTAGAGATAATATTAGGATAATATATAATTAAGAGCCAAACTTCTTTCTCATTAATGAAACCAATAAGTTTTTTGAGTTGTCAAAAAAAAATAAAGGAAAAGCTACAGTAACAGCCACATTTGGCCTCATTTAACTTAACATTCAAAAGAGTCAAAATTTCAATAGTTTGTAATTAAGAATCTTAAATGATTCTTGTTTGAAAAAAAAGTATTGAATGTTGATTTAAAGCCAACATGGAGGCAATGAGAGGGTGATAAAATATAACACTTTCTTAAATTTCCTCAATTTTGATGCAATTTTGTCAAATTTGAGATACTTTCATTTTGTGCAAAGCTAGCTTATCTGAGATTTTCATACAAAAGATGCATCTGATACAAAAGCATGATAAATATATATTCAGTAGATAGGCACTCTTTTTCTCTGAAACAAAATTTACTTTAAGACTGATGAAAATTCAATTGAAGATGAGAAAATTTAGAAATGGGCAAAATTAATGACCTTCCTTAGACTTTTGAGTATGAAACAGGAATGACAATAGGTGTTTAATCATAAACTATTGCATCATCTTAAGAGACACCTAAAGCAGGGGCCAACAAGGGCCCATAGTCTGAAAAAGTTGTTGGCAGAACCTTCAAATACTATAAATGAACTTTTTTCATGGGTTCATAATTCTGCAGATTCCTTTCATTGCCACTATTTGCCTTTGATGTACTTTAAGGATGACGTTTACTCAGATGACAAAAAATTCCACTGATAAGAACGAAAAACCACCTATTGCACATTGTACACTTATGATTCTTGTGTTAAATTTCAATTTCAAATAACTAGGTCAATGACCTACTTTTCATGCTAGTGGCCCCTGAGTATTTCTCGGAAAATACCTCAATTTTTCACACTATGACCAGTTTTTTCTTTACTCACAAAATATTACAAGCAACAAAACTCTTTAAATAATGAAATATAATAGCAATGGAACAGCATTACTTCATATAAATAAATGATTAGAGTTTGGGCCATAAACTTATTAATTATTACAGTCTGAATTTCCTCTGTCAGATTTCTATTTTTTCACCATTTTTAATCTTATATTACAAAAATCTGAATGATAAGAACTCTAAATTATTTATAGCCTCAGTTTACTTTTGTTGCCCTTATTTTAATGGTATTAAAATTAAATGACGTCAATGATCAAATTATTGAGATATGTTGTCTGGAATGGTTTTTGTTCATATTTTTGATTTTCTTTATTTCATGGCATTCAATTATTTGAAATAATTCAAGAGCTTTAACACACATAATATTTGCAAAATGATGTTTAAAAATACATGTAACCTTTACTTTGTAATTGATATTGCAAGAAATATAATTTTGTGACAAAAATGAAAAATTAAAAATTTAGTCCGAATTTCCTCTGCATTACCATATATTGACTTTTGTTCTTACATATTTTCTTCAAATAATAAAATTTTAAATTTTTAAATTGATATTGAGTTAAAACTTGGTTATTTTATCCATTTAGAACAATTTTTGATTTAACATATTGTACTTTATAAAATTTCCCCTCTGTCTTCTGAAACCTGAGTAAACGTCATCCTTAAGAATGTATGCTGCAGCCAATTTCCACAAAAAATTGGTGACTGCATACATAGCTATTCCCTAAATTAACACCATGCAGAAAACATTGGTAATCAAAGATTACGAAGTTCACCTTGACAAATGTTATCTATACGTAAGGCAAATCTAAAATAAATTTTTCTTTTCTAGTTAGTGTACATCCCAAAATCAATATCCATGCAAGTTTGGTGTAAGTAGAACTTAAATTTACTCGAAAATAAATCTGCTCCAAAAACTTTTACCCTGTTTAATAATCAAGAAAATTTTGACAGTTCCAACATCCAAAGCAGATCTGGAAGTTTTCATCCTTAGATGCACCATCTATGCCAAAAACATTACCCTGGTCACTCATCTGGAAAATGTAGGTCAGATTTAGAATCCAAAGCAAGTCTGGAAGTGTCCAGCCCTATAGATACATCATCCATGCTACCAGTAATTTGTTTAAAATATAGCTGAAATTAACTACATAATCTGGAAAATCTAAAAAGTACTTCAATCTACTGTATTTTAATAATGAACAAATTTTTAAGACTAAAGTGGTTATGGTGGCATAACTTTTTTAATAAAATGTGATTTGGTGTCTACATTGCAGGTATAAAGATATGCACCCTGTCAATTTATCATCGTTTGATCCTTATTTGTTGAATTTTAAAACACTTTATTTTTGTCAATGATGCAACCTATGGGTATAGAGGTTGGATTTCAGATCATGTGACATCAATAATCCAAACATACAAATGACACAGTAGGTCAATGGAGTGGACCAGATCAGAAATCTTTAGCTCAATGCAAAGATATTTCAGATCTGCTTGCAGGAAACTTGATGTATGTTTCATTTAAGATTTCAGCTGTGAATTTCAAAATTGTTTTCAGGAAACTTCTTGCTGTTTTCCTGTCAGTGTGTATTTCAAATTTGTTTGCTTGAAACTTGGAACAAACTTTTTCATTTCACTGTGAAATAGATTCCCTGATAACATCATTCACTTACCGAACATTATCATCCTTTGTGGCAGCAAATATACCAATGTATATACATAGAATGGACAGAATGACACAAGCAAGTGAAAGGGCTGCAAACTTGCTGACAAATCGCACCCCAACAAATACGATAAGAGCTAGGATAAGAAGAATCACAGTGCCATATATTCTGTAGGCATTGAAAGCATTGGCCTCTATGGTTACATCTCCAAAAATTGACAAGACAGGTGCAATAAATTTCTGAAAGAAAGAATACCATATGTTTAATCTTCTGCAAACCAGACTAGCTATTCTCTAACTTTAAAACTGAAATTTCTTTACAGAAATATTTTTTGTGAAAAGATTTGTTGCCTTTTTGACAAGGTGAATCGAAACTCACAAATAACTGTAATCCAATTATTGTGAGCACAACTTTTATTCATGATTTTTAAGTTATAAATCCATCTCTGTGAGCATTTAATTTTTGCAGATGAAGAAACACAGAAATGAATGGCTTGTAGCTAGAATTTATTTCTGTGTAAAAGAAGATTGCAAAGCTTGCAAATATTTCTCACTTGCAAAAAAATATTTGTTTAAAGCATGTATGTTGTAATACAACTTTTAAGTGAAATAAATGTACAAATTAAAAAAAAAAACCCAGAGTTTCTATAAAAAGTTTGCCTACCACTAGAATTTCCACGGCTCCTATAATATACATGGAAGATGCCACTGAGGTTCCAAGATAGAATAGCACCCCTACAGCTCCCCCAAACTCTGGCCCCAGGGCACGAGAAATCATGAAGTACGACCCACCTGCTGGTACAACACCATTGGTTGCTATGGCACTCATAGATATGGCCGTCAGAAAAGTCTGGAAAAGGAAGTACCACTCTGTATGATTTTTTTACCTTAAGTTCAAATTATTTGTCATTTACAAAATATAAATCATGAAATCAAAAACATGAATGTCATGTGGATTCCTCTCAAAAAAGAAATGACTGAATAATCTGGGGTTTAACAGTATTTATTTATAAATTGCTAGTGTTTAGGACCTGTGAAAAATAAAACAAAGCAGAAAAAATGTCTATACTTAGAGTATAACTGTCTTCTTGTTTGTTATTTCAAACAATTACTGGTAATGCTGATTTATTGGTCGCAAACTGAGTTTTACCAGCAATGCATCAGTAGAGCCCGTAAAATGGATGTTTGTAACCATTGAATCAGCATTAAGTTGCAAATAACAAATGAGAAGATAGTTATTCCCATTCTAAAGAATTTAATACATTTTTATTTGATGTATACATCTTATTTGATGGGGTTTGCTTTTTAAGAAACACGTCACAAAACTTTTAATGCCTGATGTGTATTTGCATCATTCCATTGTGACATCAATAAAAAGGTTACACGCTTGTTAATGCTTGTTTAACAGACTCAAACATCGAGTGCATTAGCAATTCTAAATAGAGATTACAAAAAAAGTTACATTAGTATTGCAAAATTTACTCTCAGAGATAAAGATAAAATTATTTTCCAAAAGTTTATTTGGTCTCATGTCCCCATCTGAGGCAAAGTTTATTGAATTTTGCATGGCCTAGGTAAGATGAAAAAATAAAGATAATTACAGATAATTACATGATTCAAAAATATTTCATAAGAATTTTTTCTAATCATGTGTGAATACTCACTGTAAAACAACAAATAATGACTATTCCCAGACTCTCTAATGCTCCAGCCATCCCTACGATCCATGTCATACGAATAAACAGCAGCACTCCAAAAATGTTTTGTATAGTGGGGAGGTATACCCCTAATAGAGTTCCCAGCTTTACCTACAGAACATAAAATATGGAATCATACTTAATCATCTACAGAACATAAAACGTGGAATCATTTTACTAGATAATCACAACTGAACATCTTTATTTCGTTCTAGAAAGTTGTTTCCTTTGCGCTATTCTCTAACCACTTCAAAAGTAAAATTAGGTGAAATATTATAGGAGTTCTAAACTTTCTTTACCCTATATTTTGAGTCTTCCACAAGTTACATTGATGTGGTATAAATTGTTTGTATTTAGGACAATTTTTATTGTTAAACAAATTTACATAGAGGCATAAACGATATCCATTGTTTTTTAGTTGGATATGGAATTTATTTCATGAGTGGGACAGGATGTTTTGATATTTTCATAAGTGTGAAGCGAGAGTTAAAATACCAAAATATCCTGTATCATGAGTGAAATAAACTCCATATATAACTACAAAACATGGAATTTTCCGTTTATTACTTTGTTTTTTTTTTTTCTTTTGCACTTATCACCTATAATAGCTGTCTTTTCGTAATGCAGTGGCATATGCTATAATGTCATAGCTGAGCAGTTGTGAGATGTCATAGCTAAATGACTGGGAGATTGAAAATTGTTAACATAGATTTTAACAAAAAATTGGTGCAATTTTGGCAGTTTTAGTCAGTGTAAGGATGGTTATAATTCACTTCCATTATCTATGGATGGAGAGTCTTGAAACAAATGTTATTTTCACTTTAAAAAAAAGCATGTCTTTGAAAACATAAATGTTTACTTATTCAACAGGTAAATTACAAGACTTTACTACTGGAAATGTAAAAAAGTTTTTTTTTCAAATGCATCTTTGTTATGCATTAATGTTAGCTAGTTACACAAGAAGAAATTTTGGTCAAGATTTATAGATTTATTTTGAATCAGCTAGTCAATTATATCTTTACTCAAATATTACTGCAGGACTTGAAGAAAACTACCAGCCCACAGTTGTTTTCAAGTTATACTTCCAATTTATCGTCTTCAAATATAAATTGTGAAAATGTCGTAAAGAAACAAAAAAAAAAAAGAAAAACCATGATGTGTCCATTAACTAAAGCAAAATTGTTGTATCGAGCAATAAATGCATGCCTTTGATTTCACAAATAAGAATTTGAGTGGCCAGTAGCGAGTTGGAAATATTCATCAAAACTAATGCCCATTATACCCGGTAGTTAAAAAATGCTGACATTTGATTAACATGCATCGATCTCATTCTAGCCAGTAAACTTTAAGCATCATAGCAAACAATCAAAAGTTGGTCAAAAAATTAAAATTTCTCAAATATGTATTTAAGAAAGCCAAAGCATGATCATGGTAAGTCAAGTTTTCTTTTATTCAGCTGGCGTAAAATCAGATTTTGCTGTATTTTAGTCTTATAACAAATCACTCACCCAACACTTTGTGACCAGGGTTATCCCTAAGAATTGAAATAGAAGGGGACATTTAAAAAATAGAAGGGGATCTGGAGTTCCTCCCCTAATGAGGAGTTTAGGAGGAATACCAAAATAACCGGAGGATTACATCATTATAGGAGGGGAAATTCCCTGGCCCCCGGGTCTTCGGGACAACCCTGGTGACAGAAAAGGAGAAAATGTTTGACTAGAAAGGAAATCGAACCCAGGACCCCTGCATCACTAGTCAGTACCTAATGAGCTACCCAGGCCAATATCCATCGCCCAAACCATTACATCTTCATATATACCTTGATTCTTAAACAGATCTACCTTCATTATTATATAAATGATCTGCAAGACTTAAAAATTTTCACAATACCTTTAAATTACGGAACTATAGCAGCATGGAGCAACAACTATTTAAATGCTATTTTGAAGATCTTCTCTCATTATTCAGTTCGGGGTAAAAAATTTAGCTTTAAATTGTCATGCAAAGAAAAACCTGATTCAACAATATAAAGTGATGCTATATTAATTTTGACAACATGTTAAGTTTTAGACTAAGCCAAAAGACAACAGCAAGGATGTTGATCAGAAGTTTCTGAAAATGGGTTCAGATGGAGACTTAAAAAATTATGGAAATTTTCATGCTCAAAACATGGGTGCTAATTAAAAACAACATCTGACTACCTGTTCATCACCCTAAAAAAACAAAGATTGTTTAAAACTGGTCATTCCAGTGACCAAAATGTATACAAAACTTCATTTCTAAGTAACACTACTTTTCTTTGAATGAACTTAGTTAAAATACTACCAAAATGCAGTTCAAAAATTTATTGACCTGACAAAGTGGAAACCGAAAAAAAAATTCTGTATGTTGTGGTAGACCCCCTTAAATTTCTAGCTTTCTCAACACATGAATAAATAATCAGGCAAAATCAATTTGAGCCGTAAGAGAAAAATCAGGATTCAATACCAGATCCAGACAGTAAATCTATCAACCACTTGTTTTATAACTCCCTGAATGCCTCCAAATGGAATAGAGATCACACATCATACTAAAATTTTACCAAATGGGAAAGTTTTTTTTTTTTTAAATAAATTTATGACTGTGTTTTCCCCCCTTTATAATCTATAGCTGTATAGCTAGAAGGTTCAATTAAGGTTGCATCAAAATGCAGCTGAATTGGAATATATTTCATGAGAAATTTGCTGATTCAGGCATTTCCAAAAAAAAAAAAAGAATAGCTAGGGGTTATAAATAAATAAAATCAATATGAAAATTTCTTATCTAAGACAAAATTTGTCTTTAAATATTGAAAAGTTGGTAGCCAATACCATCAGCAATTCCGGATAAAAAAAAAACATGACTCTGTAAGGGTGCTACTTTACAATTCCATTTGTTCATCTTCATGTTTCATTTCTGAGGGCCTCCAATTTAATGAGGCCCCAAAATACTTCCTTGCAACATCTATTATTTACAGATCCACATACCGTCTTTGGTCTGGACTTGTAATTTTCACTGATATTGGGTTCCACACCACCTTGGTAATTGGCAATGCGGTTGAGAATTTGAGAGATTTTTCCTCTTTCATGCAGATCATCCTACAAGATACAAATCTTTTAAGAATTCCCACAAATCAAATTTGCTGATATAATACATCAATTTTACCCAGGCATTTCTAAATTTTTGTGATTTGATTGTATACAGTACTTAACATATTTTAAAAAATAATGACTATGCCATAAAATAATCTAATAATTGTTGATATTATACCCATTAAACAGTCAAACTCTAGATGCAAGTTGATATAAATTGGCAAATAAATGGATAAATTACTTGAATATTCTATTATTTATGATCAAAAATATAATACAACTATTTGCAATTACTATCACAAGTTTTGAGAAATAACAAACAATTGAAGACTGAAATGTTTTTTTTTTCCTTTCATTATCAATCAGCTAATTTAACTAATTAAAGTCTGTTATTAACATTTCAAAGGTACTTGGGCAAGAATAGGCTAGCACATTATGCAAAAAAAAATTTTCTCGATTAAGTGAGTCACATATATGTAAATAGATTGAAGTACAAACTATTTACATATTTTTTACAATTATAGTTGGACTTTTTAGCTCACCTGAGCTGAAAGCTCAAGTGAGCTTTTCTGATCACATTTTGTCTGTAGTCCGTCTGTCTGTCTGTAAACTTTTAACATTTTCAACTTCCTCTCCAGAACCACTGGGCCAATTTCAACCAAACTTGCCACAAAGCATCCTTGGGTGAAGGGGATTCAAGTTTGTTCAAATGAAGGGCCATGCCCTCTTTCAAGGGGATATAATGAAGAAATAGTGAAAAATTGAAGGCATGTTTTAAAAATCTTCTTCTCAAGAACCACTGGGCCAGAAAAGCTGAAACTTATGTGGAAGCATCCTGGGATAGTGTAGATTCTAAATTGTTCAAATCATGACCCCTGGGGGTAGGGCGGGGCCACAATAGGGAATCCAAGTTTTACATTGAAATATATAGGAAAAATCTTAATCTTCTCAAGAACCACTGGGCCAGAAATGCTGAAACTTATGTGGAAGCATCCTGGGGTAGCGTAGATTCTAAATTGTTCAAATCATGACCCCTGGGGGTAGGGCGGGGCCACAATAGGGAATCCAAGTTTTACATTGAAATATATAGGAACAAGAGGCCCATGGGCCACATCGCTCACCTGAGCACATTGGCAAGGCAAAAGCACAAATCAGTTCAGTATTGAAAAGATTACGGGGGTGGGGGGGGGGGGGGGGCTTGAATTTTAAACTACCTGATGATGCTTTCATGTCAATATAACAAATGGCTTTGTTGTACTTGAAAGGATTTTTAAAAAAAATTCCCATATATTCTTTTGTAAAATTTGATCACCCATTGTGGCTCCTCCCTATCCCAGGGGTCATCATTTGAACAAACTTGAATCTACACTTCCTGAGGATGCTTCCATATCAATATGACTTAACATAGCTTTTCTGTTCTTGAGAAGAAATTTTTTTCTATATGTTCTTATGTAAAACTTTCGATCCCCCTATTGGGCCCCACCCTACCCTCGGGGATCATCATTTGAACAAAATTGAATTTCCACTACCTGAGGATGCTTCCATATCAAAATGACTAAACATGATTTTCATTTCTTGAGAAGAAGAAATTTTCCTATATGTTCCTATGTAAAATTTTCGATCCCCCATTATGGCCCATCCCTATCCCCTGGGGTCATCATTTTAACAAACTTGAATCTACACTACCTGAGGATGCTTCCATATCAAAATGACAAATCATGGCTTTGCAGTTCTTCATCAGAAGATATCTTCCTATATATTTCTATTTCAGACTTTTATCCTCCATTGTGGCCCCACCCTACCCCAGGGAGTCATGATTTGAACAAACTTGAATCTACACTACCTGAGGATACTTCCACATAAATATGATCAATCAGGGCTTTGCTGTTCCTGAGAAAAAGATTTTTAAAGATTTTTCCTATATATTTCTATGTCAGACTTTGAGCCTCCATTGTGGCCCCGCCCTACCCCCAGGGGTCAGGATTTGAACAAACTTGAATCTACACTACCTGAGGATGCTTCCATATAAATATGACTCATCATGGCTTTGCTGTTATTGAGAAGAAGATTTTTAAAGATTTTTTCTATATATTTCTATGTAAAACTTTGATCCTCCATTGTGGCCCCGCCCTACCCCCAGGGGTCATGATTTAAACAAACTTGAATCTACACTACCTGAGGATGCTTCCATATAAATATGACTCATCATGGCTTTGCTGTTCTTGAGAAGAAGATTTTTAAAGGTTTTTCCTATATATTTCTATGTAAAACTTCGATCCTCCACTGTAGCCCCGCCCTACCCCCGGGGGTCATGATTTGAACAAACTTGAATCTACACTACCTGAGGATGCTTCCACATGAGTTTCATCTTCCCTGGCTTTGTGGTTCTTGAGAAGAAGATTTTTAAAAGATGCACTTAATTTTTCACTAATTCTTTATTATCTCCCCTTGAAAGAGGGCGTGGCCCTTCATTTGAACAAACTTGAATCCCCTTCACCCAAGGATACTTTGTGGCAAGTTTGGTTGAAATTGGCCCAGTGGTTTTTGAGAAGAAGTCGAAAATGTGAAAAGTTTACAGACGGACGGACGGACAGACAGACAGACAGACAGACAGACAGACGGACAGACAGACAGACGGACTACAGACAAAATGTGATCAGAAAAGCTCACTTGAGCCTTCGGCACAGGTGAGCTAAAAATCTTTTAAAATCTTCTTCTCAAGAACCACTGGGCCAGAAAAGCTGAAACTTATGTGGAAGCATCCTGTAGTAGCGTAGATTCTAATTTGTTCAAATCATGACCCCCGGGGGTAGGGTGGGGCCACAATAGGTGTTACAAGGGGGAAATCTGGTAAAGAACAGCATGGCCAAAGTTACTCAGGTGAGCGATGTGGCCCATGGGCCTCTTGTTTGGATAATGCTGACACACAGAAAGATAACTCATCATAGAAAATGCTGTGAGGACCAATCAAACTCTAAAATTTCCTAGATTGTCCTATGTTAATGTTTGCTCTGATGTAAAATATACAGTACAAGCTGTAAGTGTATTATATATGCTCGAGTCCAAACTATTTGGATAATGTCATATAACTGTCATATAATATATTGAACCCCACGATATTTTGAACCCGGGTTTAAAATACCGCTGCAAAATATTGAACCCCCCATAAAATATTGAACCCGGGTTCAAAATATTATGCTATATATTGAACCCCTGTTCAATATATCGCGATATCAAAATATTATGCTACACCGGTACTTACTGCATACAGCTCCATCTGCTGTGAGTACGGAGATTCCAGTTCATCATTGCTTGCCAAGGGATTATTGTCCAAATTACGGGAAGTGTCCTCACCTAAAATTTATTTAACAAAAGAGACTGTCAAAATATTTCAGTTTATGCAACAAAAATCTCCTTCATGCACAACACTATTAAAAAAAACTTTATATAGCAAACATAATTTTCATTTTTTCCATTATATGAAAAAAAAAATATATAAATTCTATGATATTTTTTGCTCTAGCTGTAAATGATAATTATATTTTTTGGTATTATTTTCATTCATGCAGTCAGGTGAAATTGATAAACTTATCAAATGTTGTAAAATTAAGTACATGTATTATAATTTCAAGTACTTAACTTGGACATTTATAGATGATCTTTTTAAAAAATCATTAAATATAATTTATGGATAAAATTAGTTAGGAAAGATCTGCGTTTTCCTTATTAGATCTGTCCTATAATAGCTCAGTATTGTCCCTTGCCAGTGTGTGAACTCTTCAGCAGGCAAAAAATATACTTTTTGATTAAGGCACATCAGGTAATTAAAAGAATCACTCCCTGCAAAACAGGGTGTGTGATTCCCAATCTGTCTGGCTACTGAACAAGAAAGAAGAAACCAAAGCATGGCTGATCCCAGGATGCTTTCAAGTTACTGCTTCAAAACACATCTGATTCTCCAAGGATTAACAAAACAGCAGAAGCCACAAGCCCCATCCAACTCATGAAACTTAAGGTGAACTGTCATATAATAGCGGTTTCAGCATCAGCAGGATTAGAGGCAAGGAACTGATGTTTTAGTGTGCAGTGCACTCTCAGAATGCATGGATAATGGGGGTAAAATATTTCTTTGGGAAAATTTCACATGGTTTAGTACTGGATATATCTTTTGGGTTTCAGGCTAAGAGTTCAATCACCTCCTCCCTATCCAAGCCATCACATTATGTCAAACTTAAAAGTCAATGATATAAAGCATGGTGTTTTGTAAAAACATTCAGAATCAAATAAAGAACCCTATAATTAATTTTAAAAATGGTAAAACTGATTTTTTTATGCTTTTGAGAAAAAAAATCCTACATTTACAGTAGAGGTGAAATGATTTATCAGTACATCGCAATATCCCTAAATAAATAAAATGTGGTGCAAAAATTTTGCTTCAATTAAAACTTTCAAAAAGAAAAAAAAATGAAATTTGAAAAATAAAATTTTTAAATCTTATACTTCTATTTTGGCTGATTAAATAATAAATATTAGAGTTGAAATGATTAGGATCTAATTTTGTCTGTAATTACAATAAATAAAGGCACATTGTAACCTAAGTTCACTGCTATAAAGCTGGAGGTCCTGAATCACAGTCAGATTTATTACAAATTAAATGCTTAATATAAACTTTGAATTGTTTTTACAGCATTAAAGATTTCTAGGAACATAGTTTACCCACAAATGTTTAGGGAAAAAAAATTAGCCAATAATGTATCATAAGTGTCAATGAATTCAGGAAATAATGTCACTTTTATGAAGAACAAACACTTTGTTGTCAGCATCATTTCTGTTTTATCCAAATTTGTTATTTTTAAACCAGAATTAACATAATATCCAGAATATGGAGATTTTATTCAGAATAAGCACATATATGCAGCAATTAGAGTTAGTTATATGATGCGTTATCATACAATCACCACTGCATTTCCCCCAGACTGGCATTTTCCCGAGACACTACGAAGTGCAAAAAAGAAAATCAGATGAAATAGGTAGCCATTCCGGTGGATGATATCGTTCAGTAACTTAATAATATCAGTTGTGTGATAATATACTTTGATGTATCAAATTGAACTGTCTATTCTGAGGGAATTTATTACATGTAATTAAATCATATTACCAGATGTTGTATTAAATTAAGTCAGATTTGGGTTAAAATGGCAGTGTCAGTTGTTGTTCGGATAATGCAGCTATAATAGAATTCTTTCTTTGCAATATTCTTGGTGAATATCAATTTGTAACATTCCAAACACACTCACAGTTGACAACTCTGTCTCGACCTCCATTTATAATAGGTACATTTTGTTCAAAAGCAAAGTACGGGGGGGGGGGGGGGGGGGGGGGGCATACCCTGTGTTTACTTGTTTACTTACAAATAAAATTTCACAGTGTAGCAGTAAGTACTTTAAAACAGATGAACCCACTGGCTCAAGTATTCATGCAATCATCCAGAATTCTCAAATTCCAGTAAACAAGTACAGTATCTGACAATTACAAATGGGTCTCATAGGTACCACATCTATATAGGAAATTTCCACATATGTTCAATTCTCAAAAAAAAAAAAAAAAAAAAAAAAAAAAAAAAAAAAAAACAATTACCAATATACTGAAATAAGATTCAAACAAGAGGCCCATGGGCCACAACGCTCACCTGAGTCAATATGGCCCTGCTGTTCTTTGTTAGCAGATTTCTTCTCCTATATTTCTCCTATATATTCATATATAAAGCTTTGATGCCTGTTCTAGGCATACCCTACACCAAGGTGCCATGTTTTGAATGAAATTGAATATAAACCTTCTGAGGATGCTTCTATCTTCATATAACTAATCATGATTTTGCTGTTCTTTAAAACAGAATTTTAAATATGTCTAACACCCTACCCTGGCGGGGGGGGGGGGGGGGGGGGGGGGGGGGGGAGGGGGTGTCATGATTTGAACTAAGGTGAATGTACACTACCTGAGGATCCTTCCATATCAATATGACTGATCATGGCTTTGTTGTTCTTGAGATTAAAGAAGATTTTTAAAAATATTTCCTGTATAAGTTCTTCAGTAAAACTTTGATCCCCCATTATGGCCCCACCCTACTACTGGAGGATGCCTTGAACAAGCTTGAATCTACAATATTTGGGGATGATTCCATATCAATATGACTAATTGTGGCTTTGTTGTTCTTGAGAAGAAGATTTTTAAAGAATTTTCCTATATATTCCTATGTAAAACTTTGATCCCCCCTTGTAGCCCCACCCTACCCCCGGGGGTCATGATTTGAACAATTTGAATCTATACTACTTGAAGATGATTCCGTATCAATATGACTAATTGTGGCTTTGTTGTTCTTGAGAAGAAGATTTTTAAAGATTTTCTCTATATATTCCTATGTAAAACTTTGATCCCCCCTTGTAGCCCCACCCTACCCCCCGGGGGTCATGATTTGAACAAACTTGAATCTACACTACCTGAGGATGATTTCATATCAATATGACTCATTGTGGCTTTGTTGTTCTTGAGAAGAAGATTTTTAAAGATTTTCTCTATATATTCCTATGTAAAACTTTGATCCCCCATTGTAGCCCCACCCTACCCCCGGGGGTCATGATTTGAACAAATTTGAATCTACACTACCTGAGGATGATTCCATATCAATATGACTCATTGTGGCTTTGTTGTTCTTGAGAAGAAGATTTTTAAAGATTTTCTCTATATATTCCTATGTAAAACTTTGATCCCCCATTGTGGCCCCAACCTAACCCCGGAGGTCATGATTTGAACAAACTTGAATCTACACTATATAATGAAGGTTTCACATAAGTATAAACTTTTCTGGCTCAATGGTTCTTGAGAAGAAGATTTTTAAAAGATGACACCAAATTTTCACTAATTCTTAATTATCTCCCCTTGGAAGAGGGCGTGGCCCTTCATTTGAACAAACTTGAACCCCCTTCACCCAAGGATGCTTTGTGGCAAGTTTGGTTGAAATTGGCCCAGTGGTTCTGGAGAAGAAGTCGAAAATGTGAAAAGTTTACAGACGGACGGACAGACGGACAGACAGACAGACAGACAGACAGACAGATGGACTACAGACAAAATGTGATCAGAAAAGCTCACTTGAGCTTTCAGCTCAGGTGAGCTAAAAAGTAAATTTTACATTGCAAAATGTATAAATTCTGAATAAACCCATTAGACTTCAGAGGAAGTTTATTATCTTAACATATTTTTTTTTACTGACACTGCATATCAACTGATAATGGAAAATATCTTCGAAAAATTTTAAAAGTTGATTGTTTAGCATCAAATTTGCCATCAGAATTTTGTTAACCAATCTATACATCTGTGATATGTTTTTGCATCAAAGAGCTTAGGGTTCACTTTATGCATAAAATGGCCCTGTCCTTATATCAATTAATTGACTATCATCCTCTGTCCCATTTCATATATCAAAATAAAGTAGAGACTTAGTGCTTTCATTTCCTATAACAATTTCTTTTTGAGAATCCAGGTATTGGAAAACAGGCTTTGAGAAAATGCAATGTTCTTAAATTTTGCAGAAACATGCGTATTTGACTACCTTCAGCAAAGAATTAAAATATGAGCACAGCCCACGATCCAAAAATTAAAACATGTTTTGTGATCTTCAGAAACAGATCTTTCATTATGTAATTGCATATTTTGGATCAGAGGTTGTGCTCTATATGAAATATTGAAAAAACACCTCAACTTTTGGCCATTTTTAAGAGAATTTACAGGATATGGGAAAAATGACGCATTTTATGACGTCATAATGCATTGACTAGAGAGAAAATTACGCCATGTTTAATAGATACATGGTCACCAAGTGTCCAAGCTATAATTACTGCATTTTCAACCAAAACTGAGCTGTTTCGATTTTTCAGAAATTCTCAGGGCCAAAAAAGGCCCTAAGTGGCTCTTGCTCTTTGCTGACAGAATTTTGTTAACCAATTTATATGTCTGTGATACGCTATAAGATCCAATGCTAAGCATAATGTTATATGTATATGAATAAGATCTACAAATATTTCAATGTTGAATATGGAGGCCAGTGTAATGTATGGATTCTTATTTTCACTGCTTGTGCAACTATAATGATGACTGAATTTATTAATTAACATCTCCCAAATCAGAGGTTTATACCAATACTCCAAGGAATCAAGGCTGTAGATACATTGCTTTTGATGTAAGGTCATAAAAATATATATTTACAGAAAAGCTAAAGCTTTATATAATTATAGCAAGAGGCAAATAATGGGCTATCAATACCTCCAATGTCTATTCCAGACTTAAAGATACAGAAATAT